GAATGTTGTCTTTCCATGATAGACCTACTTCATTATAATAATAATACAAGTAATTAAATATAAAATATTTTCTAGCAAAGCAAGAAAAGGGCAAAACATGGGCAAACAGAGTGTGATGAAAACAAAGCTGGGGATTATCAGGTACAGGTTGGTGCAGGAGTAGTGACCTATACAACAAGCGTTTACTGAGTTATCTAAAGACAGTTAAAATAGCTTGTGCACAGGTTTGGTAGTGATTCTTTAGCAGAAAGGGCACTGTATGAACACAGCACAGGATTTTTCTACAAAAATTCAAAATAAAATTCACTTTGGGGGTGGATTCGTTCCCAGATAAAGTCAGCCCTGGTGTGTGAGGCCAGGCTGATCATGTTTGCCTTATTTTGAGCCCTCTTGAATTTGCTGAAAAGTGATTAGGAATGAATAGAAGACAAACAGGGAGGGGAAGGAGATACCTTTAAAAAAACAGACTGAAAAATACAACTGGCAAAGGGAAAAGCAAATACATAAAAATTGTGGAGGAAAATAAGATGGAGAAGGAGTAATCCCAAGAGAATACTGACTGTGTGCATGTGTGGAAGTTGTATCTTCAGATTTAGCAGCACCCAGCTTGCACAAGTTGTAATTTAAATAGATTGAAATGATAATGCTAAAGACTACCAGGTTAGATGTTATCTTGTTAATTAAGCTGCCATTATGGAGTTGTTACAAGTCCACCAAAAATCATTCCCCATTTTAAGTGATTGATACCTCCTGAAGAGAGAAGTAGCCACCCATGTCAACTCCAACAAAGAGGAGCATCTTCTCCTTAAGGAGCAAGCTCCCGCCTACCCCGTGCTTTTAGACTGAGTCATCCTGGGGGAGAAAAATCATACTTCAAAGTACAAAATAATGGATCAACTAATTAATTTTTTTAAATTGCTAGAGAAGCTTCTCCAAAACTAAATTCCATCCAGTTTCTTCTCACCTCCCAACGTAAATCCTTCCCTTCTCTACCTAGAACTATGATTTCTCTGAATCTAGTTGTCTAGCACTGACATTTCTTTGCCTATATGTCATGTAGACACCATGGTCCTAGTTAGATGATGTGTACTTCTGCACTTCAGTGCTGTGGTGAGAGGTGCCATTAAAAGGCATTTTTTCTAAGAGTGATAGTCTGATAGTTCAATCTCAAGATTCAGTGGCCTCATTTATGCTTTTAAAATTAATTAACCAGTGTCAGAATTGGTTCTCTGGCTCTAAGACCAATGGGACAATCTGACCACGTCTGCAAAGCTGAACTCTTGTAGCCTCCAGACAGATGGCTGTGTTCACACTGCCGAGGAACAACACAAATTATCTCAAGCCACTGGGGATCATCTGGAAGGGTTCAAGCCCAAACCCTATCAGGGACCCTTCTTATTGTTAAAAGCAGAAAAATATCGTACCCAGCTATTGCTTGTGCCTGTGCCCCAGCACTGCTTACAGGGGTGGAGGCAGACGTGGCATCTGGGCCCCCCTTTCAGATTTTTGTGTGACCTTGGTTAGTAACTTAGAGTAAGATTCATTCCATTTAATGTTGACTAATGGTGAGGGTGTCTAATTAAACTAATCATGTATATTCCTTCTCTGATCAGAGAAGGAAGAGAAAGCAAATTCAGAAGGTGAATCATCCTGTTTTAAGACTGGTGTCAGAGACAAATAAGATGAATTGCTTTCTGGAAGTAGCTATTTCTTTCCATTAACTGTAGAGGAAGTCTACATTAGAAGAGTTTAGACTAGATGCCTGATTTATGAATGGCTAAAGTTAAGTAAAATTAGTCCTGACCTTAATCTCTGTGCACGCCGGTTTCTCTGTGTATTGAGCGATAGAAATATCATCTTCTGAGCCTCACATTCAAAGGCCCCAACGGGTGAGGAGCATTCTCTAACTACTTTAGAAAGAAATTAAACTTAGGAGCAAAAATACAACAATTAGAGAAGTAACTAAGACAAAAAAAGTAACTAAGAGCAAAAATTCAACAATTAGAGAAGTAAGCCTTTGTTCTTGAAACATCTCAATGATGATATGAGCAGTACCAGTTGGAGCATCATGTTGCTTTTGCCACTTATACCCTTTACATTTTGACAAGGGAGCTTCCATAAATGACTTTTCCCAGTGTGGCCATATGGCACGAAGGGAGTTAGCCTGTTTTTGGGGAGAGAAGTAGGAGCGCTGAGGAAGGTTGACCATGCAAAGGAGTGTAGGACCCATTCTTGGCCAGCAGCTTTGAAGGTTTTCCTTGCAATACTACTCTTCTCAAATGACTGACTATTTACTTTTTGGAAAATCTCCCAGAGGAAGAATGAAAGCTAATGACTGACTGTGACAGAGTTAAGAAAAAGAAAAGAGGAGAAGAAAAGTTTGCATTTTCTTAGCAAAAAATCCACAACATATAAACCAGGCACAGAATAATTGTCACTTGATAAGTTGTATTTACATATGAGGCTTGCTTTTGGAACAGAAAGTTTGCCCCTTTAACTACTTAGTGTAGTTAAAGCAGCAAAAAACAAAACAAAACAAAAAAGACAAAAAAGACCTTGTGTGGGTTTCCTCATAAGTGCTTATTTGATCCAAATTGCAGCGTTACACATCTGGTATGGACACATTTGTACTTGATAAGGCTTTCACCAGCACAGCCATGCCCAAAATACAATGATCCCCCCGATGTCGCTGTGTTACTGGGGGTAGCTGAGATACCCATAAGTCCATTAAATCTAATAATAGGTCCTTAGAGGCCATTTTGGGGGTTTTTGGGGGTGTGTTAAATTACTAAATCTTGTCATTAACACTTTTATTTTATGATTTGCTATTTCCAGGGCACAGACAGAAGCTTGATGACTCTAAACCTAGTTTGTTCTCTGAACGCCTCAGTGATTTAGGGCGCATTCCTCATCCCAGTATGAGAGTAGGGGTCCCGACCCAGAGCCCACGGCCCTCTCTGAACTCTGCACCAAGTCCTTTTAATCCACAAGGACAGAGTCAGATTACAGGTAAGAGACAGAACCGTAGGTTTGACTTGCACAGGTAGCAATTGCTTATGGATATTTGTGTCTCAACTACAGTAAAAAGAGGCTGGTACAGAGTGAGAGATGTGTTCCAAGCAAAGCTAGGTGGGAAGTGAATTTTTCTGTAGTGTTTGAAGCTGAAAATGTCTGTCTTTTTTTAAAAAAATATCTTTTTACCGTAAATCCAAAATAGTCCAAAATAGTCAATCCGGGTAAATTGAGTAGGAATCTGATGAAATTCTAACTGCCACGTTGCTCTGCCTTGTCCTCTGTGTGTCCACTAGTCCATATTAGAATGATCATTTTTATTCAGCTTTCTTATTTTGCACTGGTGTTGAGGGAAGTGGCCAGCATTTAATGGTCTTTCTATCGGAATAATAATACAATCTTCTCACATGGCGGTTTCCTTCTAGCACCAGTGCTGACCACTGTTACAATAAACAAACTGAGTTACGGAGAAATCCCCAAAGGTTGCTTGTGAGGGTTGTATGCAACATTTATGATTGCATGCTGAGAGACAGATTTCATTGTGCTGAGAGAAATCATAAAGTACCATGTGTCACAGATTATAAGATCGAAATATGAAGTTTAACTGCAGCTATGCCAGAGGTTTGCAACAAAACTGTGAAGCCTACAAAATGAACAGATTTTGTCATTTTTTCTAAATTCAGAGCTGGTTAATTTTTTTCAAAAGAGTGTCAAAACAACCTCTACCTAATTTTGGCCATTTCTACACTCAAAACTGTGCTGACATATTTGTGTCTATCCAGGATGTGAAGAGATGTTCCCCCTGACCAATTTACTTGCTAGAACTGTTGGAGAACTTCACCTAGATGCAAGTCCATCAACAAAACTCTTGTCTCAATTTGCTAGACCAGTTTAAAACTCAGTTTTGCTGCTATAGTTACATCTATACCAGGAGACCTTTGCCAATCTTATATACAGGTATTCCTTTCCTGGTAGAGCACTCCTAGTATAGACATAGTCTTTGAGTCAACCTAGGAAGATTTCTAGTTTCATGTTTCAAGTGGTTTTGACATGATACCAGCTGAAACTTAGTGGTTTTAACAAAGTGTTGTGGCTTTCTTCGTCTTTCTTTTTCTTCTTTTTTAAGTTCAACTGGTTTATTAATTTGCACTAGGAAGAGAAGTAAAGTGGGTTAATTTGAACTCAAAGCACTCAGAAAACTGAAATGAAAAAATTGTTCCCATGAGTTGTGGCAAAGTTCTCCCAGATCTAGAAGTCTAGCTTTAACAACTCTAAAATGTTTATAATATATTAAATATGTCAACAGTACCCATTACAAGGTACCTGCTGCCCACCAGCTTCCCAGAGCAGGTTTTTTTGGCCAGGCTTGGTGTTTTTGTTCGTTGGACATGTGAAGTCAGGGCTTTTGTGCATATAATTTTCTGGGTAAGAACTGCCAAACCAATATTTTTTCTAACCGACTGTCTTCTGTCTTGTGGTGTTTGGGGACATAGTTCCTGAGAAAGCGGGGGGAAAATCCAGGGCTATAATCAGCTTTTTTCCCTTCTTTTTTCCTTGTGCCTCCATAGTTTACCTATTGTGCAACACTATATCTAGGAACGAAGGAGGGTGAAATTCTTCCTGACCCCATCTGGTGATCAGCTTATGCCCTGAAGCACGAGAACTGAGATCCCCTTGTAATTTTCTTCCTCGCTAAGTGTAACCTCATATGCTGCTCTCACTCACATAAATGCCTCCTGTAGAAAATGTTCTGCTGGGTTTGATTAATAGAGTATTTCTCTGCCTCGTTATGAATCAGCAGCAGCATTTACAGATCCAGGAGGTGAAAACTTCAGATGAGCTTTAAATTAGCCTGACTGGAAACAAAGCTGTGTGGCATTCGCTGTCTTCTCTGCAAATTTAAGAGTCAGCAGTTCAAAGTACCAGCTGAGACTTCATCAGGAGACGGAAGGTGTGGTGCTGCTAGGGCAGAGGGAAGTGAGATGAACCAAGGAAGGCAGGCTGACTTTCTCATCTCTTGTGGATTATGCACTTTTCTTGATGGACAAACTCATGGTTGTGGGATACTTTAGAATCCCAAATTGCTCTATTTTCCCCCAAAACAGTGAGGTCTTGGCTGCTTATTAAGGTTTGCAGTGAATTAGTGGTCTGATACAATATTTGCCATGTTATTCCCCACCTTTGTCTTCTCCTCAATTTAGAAAACTCAAACATCCAGCCCTCAAAGGCTACTCGTTAGCTTTCTGGTAGCCCTCTCGTTTAATAGGGTGATTAGTGTGAGCATGTTACATCGGTTCGAGCTCTGTGAATTGCACTGGCTTCCCCACAACAGGACATTGATTGTAATCTGTAAAGCTCTACATGCTTTGATGTTCCACCAAAGTGCTGGGATGATTTTTTGTGGATAGTCCCTCTGAATTCTTCTGGGATGAATGGATGCTCGTTGCCACACAAACCACGCCACCGAGAGACAAAGTTGATGCCGCAGATGAGGCAGCTCTTTGATCAGGTGTTAGGTGACCATGGGAAATTTCTCAATGTCCATCTGTTTGGTGTGGTAACTGTGAGTTGTTTGGGCTGTCCATCTCCACCAGTTTCCTTGTTGTGATGTGATATTCAGTAGGAATACCACTGGCTTCTTAACATGGTCACTGTGCTGGTATGGCTTGGGTATGTATTAAAAGGAGAATAGACCCTTGTCTGAAAAACAATAATTTTTTTATTACCTTCATTGGAATTAACCAAGCATTCCTTTAGAAATACCTTTATTTCTTAATGTTTTCACCTAGTAATTTAGGGAAAATAATTAATTCCTAATAACTTTAACAGTAAATACTGGTTTCCTATGACAAAATCCGTATTATAGCTAGTAAGCACATAAACTGGTTTTGTTTCGTTCCACTTGAGGTCTTACATAGCTATTGCATGATTAAACAGAAATAATATTTAAAGCCTGGCTGGCCCACACCTGAATCTGAAAGAACTCAGCACTTTAGGGTTCACTCTTATATTTCTTTTCTCTGTCTAGGTTGTGTTTATTTTCCTAGAGTATCAGAGTACAGGTTTTACAAATCACAGCACAGTCCTAAACCCACCACAGGACCTTATTCAACATGGCATTTTAACTCTGATTCTGCAAAAGCAACATCGTAGGGTCATTAAAAAACAAATCGTCCAATAAGCAGATGCCTTTGCTGAAGCAACGCAGATTCAATTTGAACCCCGCTTGCTGCCCGTAAATCAGGAATCCTGTCTGTTCACATTTGGATACTGGTATATTTGCTTTTTTTTGCTTTTTTTTTTGCTTTTTTTTTTTCCCCTTTGCCTAACGGCACTCGCACAACTTGCTCACGTATCCGATTACAGCCCCGTTCAGACACTGAGCTGTTGCATCAGTGTTTCAGTATGAAACCAGGAAAACTGTTCTTTTTCTAAAATGCAACCAGCGAGGATTAGTTTTCTATCGGTCAGGAAAAGTCCCGGGCGTGATGGCAGGAATGTGGTTGGCGTGAGGAGCCCGGTGGCTGGGCTGCAGGGATTGCGAAGTGGGAGTTAAGTGAGGTTTCATGCTCCATCACCACTGTGGCACCGTCTGATCTATAGGCAACCTGTGACTTTCATCACTGAAATAACAGCACTCAAAAGCAGGTCCTGTGATTTTTTTTTAAATTTCTTTTTTTTTTTTTAACCTTTTCCTCCTCCCCTCCCCATGTACTTCAGGAACATTACTCTCTCACTTCTCATCATTTTTAGGGTTGTAGGAAGTAGTTTAAAGGCTTCAGAGCTGGCTTACCTGGAAGTTAGTGAGAGGAACCATCTCCACTGGCAGGTGGGGACTGTTTTCAGAGGTGGTGTGAAATGAGTCTACTGGGAAGATCATGTCCAAAAAGCACCTTCAGCTCTCAGATGGAGGATGAATCATAGAATCATAGAATGGCTTGTGTTGGAAAGGACCTCAAAGATCATTCAGTTCCAACCCCCCTGCTGTGGACAGGGTCGTCAACCACTAGATCGGGATGCCTGGGCCCCCATCCAACCTGGCCTCCAGGGATGGGGCATCCACAGCTTCTCTGGGCAACCTGTTCCAGTGCCTCACCACCCTCTGGGTGAAAAATATTCTCCTAATATCTAAATACATCTCCTCTGTCTTAGGATGAGGATGGTACTAGCTGGGCCCTTCTTAATTTCCCTGTTCAGGACTTGGGATGGGCTGGATGCTGCCCTTTTGCAGAGTCAGGGAGAAGGCAGAAAGCTGTGCTGGTCACAGGGTTGTCCTGGACTCTGGATATGAAGCTGTGCAGCATCTGCCTCAATGATCAGTCTTGAGATCTGTTCTCTGAGACCATCAGCTGTAGGACGGGTTTGAAACAGAACCTGTGCAGCTGTTATTACACTGGCACTGTTCAAGTTCTCTGCCAGGGGTTGGCTGCATTTCATCTGGGACCAGCAACACTCTGAAGCACACACCAGTTTGTAGCTGGTACACATCAGTCTGAGAGAGCATCAGACAAAGTACATGGTTACCTGGAAAAGGTAATTTAGAAATAGCCCAAGTAATACATTTAGAAATAGCCCAGGTAATAGGTTTATAGGGTGAACTATGCCTTCAGTCCACTGTAAATTGGAATAAAAGCTACAAGTCTCAGCAGATAAGGTGGTGGAGTTGGGATTTGTGCTGCTGTGAAGACAAAGGTGGCTGCAGTCTGCTGTATTTTATGCAAATCGATTGCATCCTTCGGGCGACTGGCGGGTTGCCATTGTGAACCTCCACTTGGTAAAGCTTGGGTCCCTCCTGTTAAAGTATTCTTTTAACTTTTTTAAGTATTCTTTTAACTTTTTTCCCCCCTTCCTTTACAATTTAGTTGCCCTACTGGCATGACTTGTTCAGTTTTGTTGGGTTTTTGTCTTTTTTTTTTCTTTTAGAAATGTGACTCTTGGAGGGGTGGGAGCAGAAATGGCTTCAGAGGTTCTTCAGGCCAAAATCTGGACTCTATTAC